TGTAACTGCAAGCAAAAAATTGACTGCCTTATAAATGGCAAATACTTATCAAAAAATATTATTTACAAATGCATTATTTCCTCACAAAACTACCCTGATAAACAATATATTGGCTTAACTGAGGGCAAATGGAAAAAATGTTATGCCAACCACAAACAATCTTTTAAACATAAAAAATACTTAAAAGAGACTATGCTGTCAAAATATATTTGGCAACTAAAAGAAAAAAATATCAATTTTAAATTAAACTGGTCTAAAAACTGCGCCTGCCTATAACAACATTTCCAAAAAATGCATAATATGTTTACAAGAAAAATTTTAAATTAATAATCATTTAGTAATCATTTAATAATCATCAAGAAAATTTACTGAATAAAAAATCTGAATTAATTTTTACATGCAAATATGAAAATAAGTTCCTTTTAAAAAATTATAAAAACAAATGACCAGTCTAAAATTATCCTAAAGAATTCTTTTTTAGATTTTTTAAATTATCTAATGTAGTTGATGCCACTTCCTGGTTGCAAAATAAATACAGTTATTATCAAATAATTAATTCCCGACTTCCTGTGAAATAGTTTTTCTATAATTTAAATTTTTGGATGTTTAGACATTCTAAATGATGAACCTACTGATGGTCAAACATGCTGTTGAAGAGCATTAAAAATTGTGTCTTTACAAAATTATTATTGCTCTGTTCTTTAAGAACATTGAGTACTCTATTTGTAGAATGTGTATATATACATATATATATATATATATATATATATATATATATATATATATATATATATATATATATATATATATATATATATATATATATATATATATATATATATATTATCTTGACATGTTTCATAGTTTACATACTATATTTTTAAAAGATAAAATTTTAATTTAAAAGTTTGGAATATAAAATCAAAATTTGAATTAATTTTATTAATTTTAGATTTAGTAAAATTTGAGTGAAATAAGGACATAAAAAATCTATCTATTGTTTTAAAAAATAACCAATAACCACCTAAAATAATTGACACTGAAATTAGTACTTACCATTTATACAATTTTACTCAAATTTTACAAGCTAATCTTATACGTTGGAATAAATCAACAACACAAGGCTTGGATTTAATAAGGACATAAAAAATCTATCTATTGTTTTAAAAAATAACCAATACCCACCTAAAATAATTGACACTGAAATTAAGTTATTTGCTGATAAAAAGTTAAATTGTATAAATATTATTTATAATCTTAATATAAGAAATTATAAACATCCATTTATAGGATTTAACTCAAATTTTACTAAATATAAAACTAATAAAATCATTAAAGAATATTGTAAAGATATTGTAATTTTATTTTTACAATCAACAAATTACAAAACAGTTTTTGTATAAATGATCCAAAGCAATCCCAAAGAACTATGGTTCAATTTCATTCTCTTCCTTCCATTCCAATTATACAGATTAACCCATTGTGTTAGACATTTAAATCATCCTTCTGTTGCTAAAGTCATATCTTAATTTATATCTCAATTTACTTCTATAGCTTGTGGCCCAGACAGCATTCCTGTCAGTCTTACAAATTTGTTCTCCAGAACTTACTTAGATTCTCTTTAAGCTATTTAATAAGTCCTTGATTGAGCCTTGTTTTCCTGCCTGTTGGAAAATGGCAACTGTTGTTCGAATTTTCAAAAATTCTAGAGAAGAATTTTTGAAAATTCTACCCCTTCCCCACCCCCCAACTATTGTCTGATTGATCTTCTTTTTGTTATTATCAAGGTCTTTGAGTTTTTTTTATCAACAAATATCTCACATTGCAGAGAGGCTATGGCTATTGTTCTTGACATATCTAAAATTCTTGACAAAGTTTAGCATGATGTTTTTGAGATTATCTAATTCTTTCTGACTGCTTTATTAGTCATCCTTGAAGAACAACACTCTTCTTTATTTCCAGAAACTTCTGGGGTACCTCAAGGTTTTATCATTGGTCCTGTTTTGTTTCTCATATACATTAATGATCTTCCAGACAACTTTACATTTAAAGTAGCTCTTTTTGCTGATGACTCAACGTTATACTGCTGTCTTGATAAAAAGTCTTTTTTCGCTAGCTTTAAACAGACAGCGGATCTTGAATCTGTTTTCACTTCTGTAACAAATTATACTTGCATTATCTCAATTCCAACAAAACATAACTTTATACTTGCAGTGTCTTCTAAATTTCAGTTACTGTAACAATTATCACAATACTGTTGACATTCCTATATTAATGAATGGCAACCCTCTCACTGAGTCCTCTTCTTTAGGTCTTCTTCGATTATCCTTTAATACTGATCTTTCATGGAAACCATATATACAATCAATTGCTAAATTAGGATCCACAAAGGTTACCTCTCTTTATCACACTTGCCAAATCTCTTATTTGTCCCTGTATGGATTACTGTTATCATATTTGGGCTGGTTCTTTAAATGATGCTCTTTCTCTTCTAGACAAAGTCCAAAAACGCATTATAAATATAGCTGAACCTGCTCCATCTGCTATTCTTGAGCCTCTTTCCCATCATTGTAAAGTTTTATTTCTCTTTTCTACAAATTCTATCATGGTCGACGCTAAAAGGAGCTATCATCTTTAGTTCCATCAACTAAAACTCATTCTTGCTTGACTTGTCATTCAGCATTCTTTTATTTGTCTAGTTTTTTTCCCCTGCACTTCAACCTTTTGGAACTCTCTCTCATCTTTATGTTTTCCATACTCATACAACATTGAACTTTTCAAGTCTTCTGTCAACTGTTTTCTTGCTCTATAACTCTATTCTTTTTTTTCTAGTTATTCCCAACTTATGAGTGGTTGCTCGCGGCCTTGTTGGGAGTGAATCAGAATAAAAAAAATTAATAAAAAAAAGATAAATTTATTGCAAATGTTAGTTATTAAAAAAAACTTAGCAACATGCATTTAATTAGAAGAACTAAATATGACAACAGTAAATAAAGATATAAATGTAATATAAAGATACATAATATAAAGATATATAAGAGACTTATAGTAATAAAGGATGAAGAATCGAAGAGTGAAAAAAACCTTTCTGTTATAACAATAATATTAGCTGAGGGTCAAAAAGAAAGAGCTCAATCAATTTAACCATAAATTGAAAGATGCAAAGTCATGTGTTTTTTTAAATACATTTTGAAACCTAGGACTACAGCCATTACTCTAAGTCTTTAGCTGCTTTTAATATTTAGATCTACAACACCATAAATAAATCTACAACACCCTAAATAGATCTACAACTATTAGATTTAGTTTAGGTCAGCCTAAAATATCAAATTTTAATGTGACATCATTACTAAAAAGTGAAGCAGAATGTACTTGTTAAAATCCTAAGCATTTACTCCTTTCTTAATTCTTAGTATTTTTTTATAACCTTATCACAGAGCCATGAGTTCTGTAAAACTTTATAATAACTCTAATCTATTTCAATAAGATTTTGTTCAAAATTTTTTCCCGACAATAAAAATAAATTTTGAACTTAATTATTTTATGAGTATATTTGATATTGTAAAATTTATAATCTGCAAAATTTAGAATTTATAAATATACAAAGGTTAAAATAACTAAAAAAGGAATAATAAAAATAAAAACAAGTTTAAGTATCACTTTAGAAAAACTTTTAACCCTCTTGAATATTCAATTCTTTCTATAATTTCTGTAATTTTTATTTTATCAATAATATGTGTTTAATTACATTAAGTTATTTGTTGCATTTTCTTATAAGAATATTGGAATGTAATTTTCAGTAGTATATTTAGTAATTTTAATGAAATAAAAGTAATAAAAGTTATCTGAATAATTACAGGTTGTCTTAATGCTGTTGCTTTTTTGTTTTCATTATTAAAAATAAATAACACTCATAACTAATAACAATAATCTCTACCACCAACAAGGTCACAGTTTCAAACCTGTTAGCAGGGGGGCCATATAATGGCTAAATTTTAGAGAGATCAATTTCTTGCAACTTTTAGTAAAAAAAGTTTTTTTTTTTGATTTTATGATAACCATAGGGAATTTTTTAATTTTATTATCTTATAATTTTACTACAGAACTAAAAGATTATTACAGAACAAATAGCAGAACACCTGTCTGTCATTTCTAGAAAAAAATAAACAAATTTTGTGAATTTGGAACGTCAAAATTTGTTTTAGTTTTTCTTCCTTTTCTTTTTTAGATTTTTTTTTTTGCTTTTTGAGATCTAATTGTTGACTACTACTTTTTAACTTCTTTTTCACTTTTTTTAAATTTTTATATTTTAGTATTTTGATAATTTAGTAATTTGATTTTAAAATTTACAGCAAAAAAAGTTTAAAAAATTTATCCAAAAGCTTGCACAATTTTAGTATATGCTTTAAAAAAAAATGTTTAAACAAAACATTTGGTTATCAAAAGTAAATAATAAATAATTTTATGTTCCAGAAGCTTCCTATTTCTCGTTTTTATTTATTTTTACTGTTTTTAAAATATAAAACTTTTTCAAAATAATTAATCACAAAATAAATAATAAAACTAATGACAAATATTTTGATTAGTTCTTAGAACAAATCAATATTCAGCAGTAGCAGAGTATGCACCCCAGAAGGTGGCTAGGTGGTTATGTATCCTACTAAAAAACAGAAAACTTGACCGAAAATATAGCATTTGAAGCATTGAGTGTATAGTAACTTGATCCTAGTTTGCTATAATCATAACCCTAACCAACCAACCTTTAATTCTACCCTTCTACACCCTAGCCACCTTTCTATCTCATTCATAGTAACAATATCTTTAAAGTAACACTTAAAAAAAACATTTAAGGTTTCATGTAAAAGGTGCATAAAAACAAATCAAATAAAAACTAAATTTTAAAACTTTATTATTTTTAACTTATGTTTATTATTTAATTCATAATTATAGAATAAATTAGTTAAAATTTTAAATGAATTCAAAATATTTAAAAAAATTACGAGTAAGTCTCAGCTCCAGTCATTTTATAACTCCAAATTATTTTTAAAGTTTCCCCATTTATTGCAACAACATTTTGATTTAATCCAGCACATATTAAATCCACAACTCCATCTTTATTAATGTCAGCAAGTATAGGAGGATTGATAAAACCTATATATAAAAAAAAAAGACTTATTAAAATAAAACAAAAGAAAAATTTAATATTATGTAAAATGTTTCATTCTTTGCATTATTTTTTTACATTTTATTCATTTTTATTGATCTTTGATTTTTATTTAACTTTTTATAAATAATAAAAACTTTTAAACATTGGTTTTTAACCTAACTTTAGGTATACATTAATCAATAATTGTATCACTCTCTCATATACCAAGTTAATGTTAAATACCAAGTTGTAGTTAAACTGCAATTATAATACTCTATAACACTGAGTTTCAGTTGACATTCTTTGAGAAAATAAATCCTAAACTGTAATTCTTCATTCCTCAAAATTTCTATTAAAAATTACTACTTTTGCTACTTTTATCAAGGCAGCCATTATTAGAGTTGGAAGTTACTGGAAGAAAAAAGATGAAGTTTATGTAGCAAGATAACAATTAACAGAGGACTTGAAAGATTGCAAATTATATGAATTATCAGAACAAGATCAAGGGAGCAAATTCCAAAGTATTGATGTTCGATTAAAAAAACTAGACAAAAAAGAAATCCTGGAGCAATTAAAAACAGTCATAGTAAAAGAATGAAACTTAATTGCACGACAAGTAACACAAGAATGAATTTTAGTAGATGGCACAAGAGAACCTAGCTCTTTCGAGCAGTGCCAATTATAGTATTTATAGAAAATAGAAAAGGAAGCAACATTACAACAATATGACAATGGTAGGAGGTTGGCTGCAAAAGTAGGTCTAATTATGTTTACAATGCGATTTTGATCCGCTCCAGATATAACAACAGTGTTCAATTGAATAAAAGAAATAGAGATTTGTAGAAATAAAGAATAGAATCCTGAGTAAGAAATTGGCAAACACGATAAAGATATGCAACCTCAGCAGATGCTAATTTTGCAATGGATTTAATATAAGGAAGATCGAAAGTAAGAGTTAATCCTATAATAAAATAGGTAGATGAATCTTCGAGTACATTACCGTTTACAAATATAGGAAGATCTAAATTATTGCTTTATATATGTAGCGCCTAGCTAAAAAAAAATTATTTTCTCCACATCTATCTAATGCATGGTAAAACAATAAAATTTTGAAGTTAGTGAATTTCCAAATATTTTACGTATTTACAAATATTTAAATAATTGGTAAACAGCTTATGAAAATAGTTGTTTTATTTGATATGGAATATATTTTTGAATAAACTTATAATGTGTAATATGCTTTGACTACATTTTTTTGCTGAGTTTTTCAAACCTAAAAGGACCACCAAGTCCCGAGACATGTTGTGTTCATATTAAAGAGAATGTTAAAAAAAAACGTCTGAGCAAAACTAATTAATAAATGTATACCAAGAAAAACAAATCTTGTTGTTTTAGTCAAAGCGTGTCTTTTCCATTTTCTGCGGTATTTGAAAGTCTTTAAAATAAACACAATTTTTCAGGGGTATTATAAAGACTTGATAATTTATTCAAGTGCGTTTAATTCATAGGAGTTTTAGTACATGACGCCATTGGAAAAATTCTAGAAATTCTTTAAAGATTTTACAATTAAATTTTACTAAAATAGCTAACTATAGTTAGTTATTTTATTTTCTGAAATCTTCACGTTGAAAAATATTTTATTTTTTTGTATCTATCAAAGCTGTGGCTACATGAGCCTTGGCGATGGTAGACCTAGGGACTCCTATGGAGCCAAATTGGGTTATATAATATCTTCGATGATTCATGAGTGTGTTCTTTACACTTTGCATATTTTTTGAACCAATAGAATTTGTTTGTAAATTTGGCGGGTTTTTAGAGGTCACAAATATTCTTTTTATTTTTCCGCAAGATGTTTCAAGAACATTCAAGTTAATTATGTTTCTATATATGTTCGTAAAACAAAAATTAATATATATTATTTTTTAATTTTTAAGCCCCCGCCATAACATAAATAATGAAACAAGATCACCTCAATACCAAAAAATACATTTTTGAAAATCAGAGAAAAACTGCGTTAATAATTTTTTTAAATATTTACAAAGTAAATTAATAAAAGTGCATTACTATTTTAGGTTAAAAATAATTTTATCTAATATTTTAAAAGAAAAACTTATAACAAAAGATATCATAATACATGTGGTCTAGACAATTATTTAAAATAAGTTGCGCAAATAAAATACTATTTTGTTTTTAATTTTTTTCAAACACATTTTAGAACTTTAAAATATAGTAAAAATGACTATGATTTGGAAATTCTATGTAAAAAATAATAATTGGTGTTTTAAAAAAACAAACAAAAAATCAAAAACTATTTGCTCAGACGTTTTTTTTTAACATTCTCTTTAATATGAACACAACATGTCTCGGACTTGGTGGTCCCTTTAAGAAATTTTGTTTTAAATTTGTTTGTTTTTTGTAACAAAAAAACAGAATAAATTTTAAGTTTTGTCACAAGTGCTAACTTGCTTCCACTGTGGCATTATAAAAATAATTAACAATAAATTATAATAATTATTCTTTTTAAATATTTTAAGACAACTGAGGCAAGCTAGCAAATTCTTTTATTTACATGATTTTAAAAGGCTGAACAGTAGGGTGGAGCTTATAAAATAAAAAAAAATAAAATTTGTGTTTTTTAAAGTCTTACCCCCCCCCCCAAATCTGTTCCATATAACAGAAACACTGCATAAAAAGTTTGGCTAAGAAATAATTGTTTTTAGGGGTAGCTCAAGTGCCTCCAATATTACAAAAATTATACGAGAAACGAGTCTAATCTATATATTTTAAACAACACAATTAACAATTTTAAGCACATTAAATATGAGTTCTAAGCTCAGTTTTTACAGTTTAGGGTATCAGCCTGACAATGTCCAGAGCAAACTCAGGAATTATTGTTTTAAATTCATGGTTTCGGCAGCCCAGACAGAGTTTGTTTCCTGCTATCAGGGTAGATTCTGCGATGGTCTTCTATGACTTGCAGCAGGAATTGCAGCTGCATTTCATTAAGTGTTAAAAATCCACTGTATTCTTGAATGAGGGCCACTCCACGTTCAGCGTGGTCATTTACAACTTTTAAAGACTCGACTGTTTCTGCAGCCAACTTGTAGTCATCTCTGTCTTCCCACAAGTCCGGATCAACTGTTAGAAATCCATATGCAATTTCTTTATGCAAATTCTTCTAAGTTCTTGTTCCCGAATGAATCAAGATCAACAGTGATATGCTTCAAATGATCCTGATCTTGGTCTTCTTCATTTTGCATTGCACTCACCATCAGTCTCTTGGTTGATGAACTGACCCAACTGTCGAAGAAAGCCAAGCTAACAAGTTCCTGTGACAAATACCACAAGTGATTGGAAAACTTGCGTGATGTTGACTTCGAGATTGCTGAATGGATTGATGAATATTCAATCAGTGACTTCAGCAGCAGCAGATCATTATAAGGAGCACCTGATGCTTGAGGTGCAGATATCCAGGCTTTCAGGTAGACACGTACTGTGAATACACACACATCACGTAATCCTCTCACTTCAGCAGGAGTCAATTTAAATTGAGCCTTAAACATCCAGATCTTGAGACTGTATATGACTTTGGACATCCAGCGGGCATAGTGCATTGCTCCAGGTGACATGAATTGCACACCTCTGGCAGGAGCAGCACTAAGAAAAATAATCACAAGTTCCAAGAATTCTTTATAATCATCCCTCGACTGACTCTGTTCAAGATGCTTGTTGGCATAATCGATAGTGTCTTGCTTTATGTCAGCCATGAGACGTTCGACATCATCAGTTGCAATCCCTGGCTCATAATTAGCCGTGCCTATGAAACCCCAGTATTGCTGGAAACGTTTGAATAGTGAAACTTTTGGACAAGATGTTGCTCCCATACACACTTGGAACACTGCACTAATTATCAGTTCCATAATGTGATGCCTACAAGCCAGTGATAAGAGCTCTTTCTCAAGTTTCTGTTCTAGGAGGACACAGGCACCAGCAAGCCGACCAGTATTTGAGCTGGTCGTGTCAAAACACATTGCACGGATGCTGTCGGCTATGCCTCAGTTTTCAATGGCTCCAAAGACGGCAGCAGCCTGTGCCTCGCCTGTTCCAGAAGGAAGCTTGGCAACTGTGAGTAGCTGAGAGGCTCCTTTTCCTAAAACCGATACGGGCAGGCCATCAACTTTCTCTTTTACAAGTAGATCAGGAATCAGTTTGCTGTCCCAGTGAACAACAAGAGGAACGTTATCCCGAAACTCGGCTTTTATATTTGCAGATCTCTGGACTCTGTGTTCCAATCTGTGTCGGCGAATTGAGTCTCTGTTAAGAGCAAATTCATGATATTCTGTCCTAAGCTTTTGGCAGTTTCTGCTCTAACAAAAACAGCCTTGCGGTCTGACATTTTTGTTCGATCTAGAGCTGCAGCGAGTTCTGGAGTAACAACAGTTTTTCGTCCCCTCTTTCTTTTAGGTGTCTGAAAAGTGGTGCCTCCAACAGCTCCCTCATCTGCATTGTCACTAGTTTCAGTCTCTTCAACATCCTCTGCTGTACTGTTTTCAGATTCAGAACTAGATGATTTCAGTTCAGCTGTAGAAACGGCTAGCTGGTTCATTTGCTTCATTCGCTGTTGCCTGGCAAACATTTGCTCCCTTCTTTTGGAAGCCCTTTTTTCCTTAGCAGCAAGTGTTTCATCTACTCCAGCCATTGCCCCCCTTCTTCCCTTTTCTCGCTGGGCTTCTAAGAAATCCTTGTCTTCTTGTAAAACTGATGTATTGGTCAGGGCATCGGCATGAGCGACATCAAAGAGATCATTAAGTCTTAAAACAAAAGCCGACTCTCTCCCAAGTTGAACACCATTCTTTAAATGTCTGTTCAAGCTTCGTTTGGCAGTTCTGATGATCTCTCACCGGGATTCTAGCTTTTTGCCAAAACTTTGTTATTTCCGTGATGGTAACAGCCGATGATTGTCTTATAGTCTCCTTTGATTCGAGATGGTGATACAAGAAAAATA